TAATTTCATCCTTATTCTTTCCATCCCAGTGCCTGTGGGGGTGGGGTGGGGGAGGTGGTGGGTTTCAGCCTCGATGCAACATTTTTGCTGTACCTGCTTGCTAGGCTTACCTGTGGTCAGCCTTTAGACGCACTTTATTTTTGATGGCCTTAGCCTGAGGTTTGAATAGCTTACGACCCTGCAGTTGGGAGATTGCAGGGATTCACTGAGGGTATCACACAACATCTCTCAAAGGGAATTGGAAAGGAAAGCAGGGAAGAATTAGGTCTTCAGCTGCTCCCTGAGTTAAAGATCACAATCCAAATCTACTAAATGTATTAACATCAATATGTAAATAGGATTGTCAAGGATACTATTCTAAAGTTTGGAACTCTAGGTATAAAATACCTCTCAGTGCTTAATCTGTTATTAAATTTTGCTGTCAAGCCTGATGGATCAAACTTTGTGCTTAACAGCTGCATTGTGAACCCAAAATGCTAATTGCTGAATAATAATTTTTTAAAAAATCTTAATGAAAGCAAGCCTGTGGAAATGTTACTTTTTCTAGGTTTTATTTTTATTCCTTAATGTGCCTTATTTTTTTTATTGCAGGATGATAGATCGAAGTTAACCAAGCCTTCGGTAAGTAAAACCATCTCAAATGTCTCGATGGATTGAGTTATCTTTATTGTATTTAATAACTGTCAAACTGAAGGCGAAGGTCTTTTACTTACCCGACCAAGGCCAGCAATGGTTTTTCTGGGTAAGATGAATGTATAACCTGTAGGCTCAGCAAAAATCTTTATCTGTATAGACCAGTCGTTGTGCTTTCTCAGGATACTTGTGGTATTTTTTTTAAGACTGTCAAATTGGGTTTTTCATCATAATTATCAATAAATACCTTTTGAAGAGCTGCTTTTTATAAGTGGCTCTGTGCTTCTGATCTGAAAGACTTCACACGAGCCTTAGTTTTAGAGAACTTAAAATCTGATTGAGTAAAGGTATTTTTTTAAATTTATTTTTTATTGAAGCATAATTGATTATACATATTTGTAGGGTATAAAGTTGACCATTAGTAGTTGTGTACAATATGTGATGATCAAATCAGGATAGTTAGCTTCTTCATCATTATGATATGTAATCATTCTTTGTGTCCATTAACCAATTTCCCAATAATTTCTCATTAATCCCCCTCCCTTTTCACCTTTCTTTCACTCCCTCCTCCCCTCCCCCTTTCAAATTCTGTTAACTACAGTTCTGTTCTCTCCTTCTAAAAGTTCAGTGTATTATTGTGATTATTGTTTCTTTCTTTCTCTCCCTTTGTTGTTTATTTATTTATGAATTCACCTCCCACTGATGAGTGAGGACATGTGGTATTTCTCTTTCTGTGCCTGGGTTGTTTCACGTAATATGATTTTCTCCAGGCTCATCCATGTTGCTGTTAAATGGCAGAATTTCATTCTTTTTATGGCTGAGTAATATTCTATT